AGCATCTATCGGTGGGGACGCTCTCAAATCCATTCAACCAGTACAATTGCTTTTACTGGGTTGATGGCGAGGCCTATTGCTATGCACTGACGTTGGCCCCGGTCCAAGCTTTGCCAATCAGGCATTACACCGTCCACAAGTGCTCGGTGTATGATGGTCACCCACCTTTTTGGTATGATTTCACGGTGGGTGGGGTTGAGTTCGAGGCGAGCTCAAATGAGGTGAGAAAAGTGGTGACGTGTGCTGAGACGCTCATGGACGCTGTCATTGGGGCGGATGTAGGCCCCACAAGCCCAAACTTCCAACAGAGGTGTGCATTTTGCCTCAATCATGCTTGGGCCTGCTCGGACACTCAAAACAATCTTTGTGAACTCTCACGCCAAGCGCAGGGAAGTGCAGATTTGTTTAAAGGCCAGTGGACGTGCTCACTACTCAATGGGTTTGTATTCTTTGTGGTGAGCGGTGCGACGATCGCATACAGCACTCGCCCGCTTGTGCGAGTCGTGACAGCGCCGGAGCTCATTGCTTGGGCCAAGGCATTCGAGAGTTGGAGACTCATTGCCGCCGTGGCTTATTTCTTGGTTGTTTTGGTGGCATTGGCCTACGCGACATATTCTTTGCTCATTGCCTGGACATCCAACATCTTCATGCTTGCGACTGTTTCTTACTGGTATTATTTGTTTTCTGTGTCAGGCCACATAGTGGCGATTATTCTGCTTGTGCTGGACGCCTTCATCACGCCAACGCAGCAAGGGGCTGAAAATTTCCTTGTCCACCATGCGACCTCGTTGGCCGTAGGATTCATGTTTGCAGTGCTGGAGTCCTACGTGGCCTACGTATGGGCTGGGGCTGAATAGTTGCCTGCCGGCCTGAGCATGCCATTAAACTGCTCACAATTTTGTTTAATTAATGCATGTGCTTAAAGCTGGGAGGGGCGTCCGAGCCTGTGGAGCACTCAGACTTGGCACCCTCGGCACATTCACCTCAATGCAGGCGATAAAAGCTTCTTCAGAGCTTGCCAAGGCTCTGGTGTCGCTCGCGAAAGAAGTTGACGTCGACCCTGAGGCTTTGGATATTATCCGCGAGCAACAACGCACTTACGTTCGCCAGGCGTTGTACTTTCCGATTGAAGCCGCGACGGAGCTCGACCATTTGAGGGTGGTGCTGGAAAGGCGCGGCACGACTTGCAACTCGAAGGAGCATTGTGCAGTGCGAGACTCGCACGTTGCTTTTGATGTGCTGCACTATTTAGCGCAGCGCGAACTTAATGACAGGGCAAGCATGTCACATGCACTTCGTGGCACCATATACTCTTTGTTTCGCCTATGCCTTTCACCCTTATGAACTTCCTGCGTGTTGCTCGTCAAAGCCGGCACGTGCCAATAGTTCATAGGAGCATTTTGCTGCTCGCGTCTTATAGCCCATCTCTAGCACAGAGATGGGCTCATGTGGCCACAAAACTGCACTCTGCTCCGCCGAATGCCGGCAATCAACAACTGGCACAACTCGCGCAACGGCTGCGTGATGCATACCTCTGCCCTGCTAATGCGTTGGCTAGCTTGGTTCAGTTGCCAGTACACAATTGTGTTGTTCACATCGCGACATTGCCATTTGGAGCAACAGATCTGCAAGCCATCAAGCATTTTGCTCAATTGCAAGGGCTACTCCCCGCCGTTGGTGTCATCTCGGATTTGGGAGTTGCCAGGTGGAGAGTAGAGTGGCTTCCTGTCTTGGTTGAGTTTGCTGCTGGTGCTATGTTATTTCAAGTAACATTTGTGCCACAGCGACTGCCAAGCAAGTTGCTCCAGCTGGCGAAAATTCAAGAGACAATGTTGGTTCGAGCCAAACTTGGAACAGCGATGTTTCAGCGCATAGCTGACGGAGCCACAAAGACCATGATCTCTCTGAGCAAACTGACTGACAGACTGGAGCGGAGTTATGACGGTGACGGCAGCCTGATGCAGTTGTTGACTAGCGGGGATGCAATGTCATCACAGCTGATCCCACCAGATAGTGACATGATGGCTCTGGGTATAGGCATCGGTGAGCAGAATCCAGTTGCGGTGATGTCACCCGCAGTCGATCACTTCTTTGCAGTGCCACTGCTGCAAGCAATCACAGCCGAATGGCTTGGTTGCCAGTCAGCCGCTTTTGAAACCCTGGGCCACAGCGGATTTGGTGTCAGCGTCAGCCAAATTGCACGCACAATGCAAGAGGCTAAGTTGCTGCAAAAGGAGGCTTTCGACATGTTGGTTTCCAGCACCTTTGTACTTCCAGCTCAAACAGTGACAGTGAGCCCAGGTGTGCGTATGGCGGGTGCACTTGCAGTGTCAGATGTACTGTTCAAATTCCTGAGTTTGGGGCTCAACACTTCAGATCTGGATGCAATTGCCAATTATGCTGTTGGCAGGAGGATCCCAACGCAAACCTTGCTTGCTGCTACCCAAGAAGTTGATCAGCGTGTAGCCGGGGTAAGTTTGGTTTCAGGTGATTTATTCGCTGCATGGACATCACTCACATCGGATGAGCAGCAAGCCCTCAAATCGGCATTGGTGCTTTCGAAAATCAGCAGAGGTTATTCTCTCCTTGGATTCGCAGAAAGGGTCACAACAGCCAGATCAAGAGCTACATATGAAGAAGAGCAAACAAGGCTCTCTGACATGGCTCGTACAGCATTGGGGCTCACTAGACGTCTAGGGGATGTAGCAAATCAATTGGATTACGCAGAACCTCTGCTGTCCTCGCCGTACGCTGGTTTGTTTCGAGTCACTATGCGAATCACGCGTCTGTCATTGCTGGTGGGAGGCAATCTCGTCAGTTTTCAAAGTGCAGAGCAGCAAGTGAGCTCACAGGCTATCCCGAGCCTCCCTGCGGACAACAATCCTTTTGACATCACGGCAGCGCCAAGCGCTCCGCCACCCGGGAGCATCGAATTGGCCGGCATGCCTATGCATTTGGCTTCTTATGTGTTGCTTGGAGGTAATTTGGCTCAAGGCATGCATGGCTCGTCGAGCTCTCAAAGACCCTCTGAGCAGCAGACTAACAACGTGCATCATGCAGTGTTGTCAAGCGTGGTCGACGAGAATTGCAATCCTTCAGCTTGCTTCATGCTCGTGCCGGATGACACAACCTTCGTCAATGACAGAGGTGAACGCATTGGAGCAGACGCTGCCATTTCAGCAAATGCTATTACCAATCAGGTGAGAACCAGAATTGGAGGCCTTTTCAGACGATTGCCAATGCTGGCTGGCAGAAACACTGAAGAGCCACCAAAGAGAATCACCCGGCAGATGCGCCTTGAGCACTTTGCTACCCAAGTCATGTCATGTCTTGTCTCCGGTACGCAAGTCAATGACTATCTGAAAGTGGGGCCCGAAACCATGGTGGCAAGTGAGTTTTCACATGACGATCTGATGAGCAAACGATTCAGAAGGGCAATTTATTGCTTGCGAGATATTTGCTATACAAGCTGCCCCAAGAAAGACGCAATGCCATCAGAGATCGTGCGCTTGCAGAGAGTGCTGGCCATTGAGGACCCACGTATTGTCTTCACAGTGCTCAAACTGAGCAGTGAGAGCATGTTTTCGCCGACAAGCTCAGTCAATCGCATGGCCGCCGTGGCCAGAAGACATGCTGGGCCAATTGCGTGGATACAGCAATTGCTGGGAGCCATGCCGACTCAACTGCGGACATTTGATGCTGAAGACATGGTTATTATGCTTGCAAGAAACACAAAGATCAGCTCCTGGGCTCTCACATTGGTTGAGGCGGCCATGCACCTACACGCAATGGTGACAAAATTGAGTTTGCCTTCAATTGGCAATCTCACTGCAGAAGCATCGCTTGGTGCTGTTGAAGAACCCATGCGCATTTGGCGTTTGCAGGTGCTTGACTTTTGGATGTTGGGCAACGCCTGGGTTGATGCATCATTGCAAGGCTCATCCTCGTACTGTGCTAAACTCACATTGCGCATAGCACTGGCAGCAATCCAAGCTGCGCAAGACGTCATTGCGGCATGTTGTGGCACTGCACACCTGCCTCCGACCCTGTCCTTTTGTTTCACTCCTCAGAATTCGGTTTTGCATTAGGTGCGTTCGTATCGAACACTTGACCTCGCGAAAGAAAGAAAGATACCCCAAAGCCCTGTTCTAATTATTAAGGCTTCTATATGAGACCCTAAACCCTAATTCTAACGGGCATGTATCGGGCCTTACTGAGACCCTGGGTCCTTTCGCTGAGTGGGACAGACATGTAAATCTTCGATCTTAGCTATAGTCTTCATTGTAGTTCCTACTTGGGGGTTACCTTTTGGGATCCTTAAGATAGAATATCTTAGCTATAGTCTCCATGGTAGTTCCTGTCCGGGGTTACCCTTTGGGATCCTTAATAAAGAACTGGTCAGACCAAGAAAAGGAACTACAATGAAGGCCATAGGTAAATCCCCCCCAAACCCAACACCACACGACCCCAAACCTTAAGGGTCCATGTACTCAAACAGTATATACTTTGGCCCTGAAATACCTATACATATATATATATATATAGGTCTATAATTATAATACAGTATATTTATTATATATGCTATGTTATAGTATATACTTTTTGGGCACATGGACCCTTGGGGAAAGGCTTAGCCCCCCCCAAAGCTCCTCAAGCCTCGATGTATTTCCAACGTGTAAGCCCCTAAACCCCTAAAAAAAGGTGCTTTAATAAGTACCTATATTATTTTGGGGTTCCTTATTTTAATTTTAGTATAATGGGCCCCAAAACCCTATTCTAATTATTAAGGCCCCTACATTACAATGCTTCCTTGTAACCTCCATCTTAATCCCCAAACCCCTAAACTAAGGTGCTTCCTGGTGGCCTACAC